GCGGAGCTGGTCTTAAGAGATTGCAAGAGGCTTAAAAAACCGATCTGATCTCTCTCGGTCTTACTCGGGTCGCAAGAGTGTGAACGGCGCATAACGTTTTCACGCTTCACTGGTTTTCATGAAATGAAGTTTAGAAATGTTTGCGTGTGATATTTAGACTGCACAAAGTTGGTCAGGCAATTAAATGGGACGACGAGTGTCCTGGATGTGCTGGATTATTTGCCAGTGCAGAATGACGTGTGCAGATCAGTAATTGTGACCACCAGCCCGGAGGGGGGGGGGGGGGGGGGGTCTTTAATGTGCATCACGCAGTAGTGATCACACGAACGCGCTGTTTAACGATACTCATTCAGTTCGAAACGGCCAGGGGAAGGGCGGGCAGGTGGTTGAGGCTCAGAGAAACCTTGAAGCGATCTGGCAAACTCCCTCGCTGCCCCCCTGCACGCTGGTAGTAATCCGCTCGGACGCCGCCCGAGTGACGCTGGCATATAGTAAGTTTAGTTTGTACATGATGCAAAATCCGGATACTGGGAATGAAATTTGAAAGAAAAAGTGTTAGAAGACAGAAAAAGGGGACAGGGCAATGTCTCAAACTCAACTCAGCTGAGTTTGACACATTGTCCTGTCCCCTTTTCTCTTTCTTCTTACACTATTTCTTTCGAATTTCATTCCCAGTCTCGGGATTTTGCATCATGATCAACATACACCAGCTTGCCTATACCTTGACAATTCTTTAGTTTGTAATTGCTTTGGAAGTTTATTTTCCGAGACTGAAGAAACGCCGAGCAAAAAGCACAGAAGCTGACACAACTTGAGGTCGAGGAGCGTTCTACCATACCAGTGGCGTCGGAGGAGGAAAAAGGGGGGGGGGGAGGGGCTCCAGTCTCTCTCTCCCCCCCCCCCAGATATTTTGAACTGTTAAAGAAAACAATACAGGGAAAAAGGGCATGGTCGAGCTTATTTAATCTGAAATTATTTATGCATACGTATAGCTACTGTCGCTCTTCACTGCATAAAAGATTGTGTAGATGGTCATTGTTAGAAACTCGTCAGAAAGTGCTACTCGTCACATGCTCGGTGGTTTGGAAGTTCAAAGCTATGTCTTTTCGACCTAAATAACTGTGCCATTGGTAAAAAATAATAAATAAATAAACATAACAATAAATGCAAAAAAGAAAAAGCTGGATAAAAAAAAAAAACTATCAAGAATCCACTGGAAGTGTTGTATTCTTGCATAATCACAGGCCAGAACTATGAAACAAGTTTCTTCTACCAAAATGTGTACAGGCTAAAAGAAACATGTCCCAAAAACGTGAAGTGAAAAAAATAAAAAATAATATATATGTATGTATATATATATATATATATATATATATATATATATATATATATATATATATATATATATATATATATATTTTATGATGTGCCGAGTTTGAACAATATTAGAAATCTTTTTCCCTGAGTTAATTTATTCCTCAACGTGAAAATCACAATATATACATTAATTTGTATCCTACAGCTGGTAATGATATGTACTGTCTGCGGTGTTAATTTAAATGCGATACCTCAAACAATTTCGATGAAAAAAATTACCAAGTTTAAGGTATAATTGCCCATACAGTCGCCGACCGATTATTCGGACTTTGCTGGGACCGAAAAAACGTCCGAATAATGGAGCAGTCCGAAAAATCAGCAGATTGAAAAACTTGCCTTTATTGCTTCCAAGTGGGCTTAAAAAAGCCGTAAATAGTGCCTTGGTTCAGGTTACGCCGGCGTGCCTTGTTTTAGGTTACGCCTCCGTTTCCGTGCGACAGCTTTCTGTTAGCTTGAGAATCGCTGCCTTCTTTTCTAGCATTATGGTCGAGTAGCAGAAGAACAGATGGGGCCATGACATCCAAGCCAGCGTTGTCCGAATGAGATCAGAGGCGCAAATCCACAAGCGCAAAATGGCAACTGGCGACGCAAAGGAACGAAAAACAAAGCAAAATGATAATAATGATGATGATGGTGACGTGCAGCTAAATGGGAAAAAAAGGGCTGGCATAGCGTCACCTAGCGGTAGGACTCAGGAGTGCTCAAGTAGCGCTGCCAAACCAAGCCAATCCATTGGCAGCCAACATAGAATTCAAAATGGCCGCTTCTCGATGGTGTTTTCTGCTGATCGCTCGCGACGATTTTGTCCGAATAATCGAACTTTCGGACTTCAAGCTGTCCGAAACGTTGGTCGTGAATATACACTATTTCTATGGGGTAAGTCACGATTCCGCCTTTAGGTTCGAAATAAAGAACAAGTCCAAATTATCAGAGTTCAAAAAAATGGTTGGCGACTGTAGATACATATTTGGATATTTCTTCGAAACTCATCTTGAAGAATAATATTCATATCTTAAGACGACACTTACCTAGGCTATACATAGATCATTCTTAAAAAGTTTAACATCTCTACCATAAATATCTTTGGCTATAGCGCGCTTCAAATATGGCACAAACGACAATTGTCAAAAACCCGTCGTCCTTCCTCGCTCCTTTGGGAATCTATTTCTTTAAAACCAAGCATACCAGACGATTGAAATAAACGGCATTGTCTTTCGCAAGTAATGCAATGCCACATGTAAAAATGCGAGAAAAAAAATTACGAATGTACCTCACAGCTTGAATCCAAATGAAACCGACCGCCCGTCTTTTGAAGTTCGACGAACTTCGAACTTTTACCCCAAAAATTCGAAGTTCGTCGAACTTTTGACTTTTCAGGAATCGGAAGTTCGACATTTTTCGAATTATTTACATTAATAAGTTTGAAAGTTCGACAATTATCAAATTTCTTAGCGTAGGAAGTTCGAAAGTTCAAAAAGCTTCAAACTTTTTAGTGCAAGAAATTCGAAAGTTCGAAAAGCATAGAATTTTTTAGTCTATCAAGTTCGACAGTTCGACAAGCATTGAATTTTGCAGCATAATAAGTTCGAAATTTGGAAAAGCGTCGAACTTCTTAGTTTAACAAGTTCGAAAATTCGACTTCGGTCGAATTTCTTGATATGGGAAAGTTAGAAAATTCGAAACCTTTCTAACCGCTTGATTCGATTATTGAACTTTCGGTTCGAAAAAAGTTTGCGGCATCCCTAGCACCAACATTAACTCTGCCTGACAACTGAGGCCATTGAGAGTTGAATTTGTGTAATCACATATGCTTTTTTTTTCACGGCATACCACTGGAGCATACTGTACATCTTGCGCACATCAGGCCAGTTTAAATCAACACAAAAATGGCGTGAGAAAAGAAAAAAATGGGGGAACCTTGTTGCTGTACTTTTTAAACCAACGCTCCCACCGGATTTTGTATAGCCCAACCTCTGGTGTTTGTAATAGGTAGTGCAGCAAAGCACGTTACCAAACGGAGCGTTAAGAAAAAGGAAAGTAGGGATCTGAGTGAGCATAACTGGTCATGCTCCGTGCGAGCTAATAGATGCCGCGAGTAGAGGCGGTTGCAAACTTTCTTTTGCGCGTTGTTGGTGATATTGGAGCACCCTGACTGGTGCAATACTACCCATTTTGTTTTACACATTTCTTTGCCGGTAGACAAGGCTCCGTTTCGCTGCCTGTGTTCGGTTTTGTCCAGGTGCTCTTTTGCGCTCAACCCTTACAGCAAAGGGGCTTGTACAACAAAATTTTATGCCATTACCACAAAAATTGTTATAAGTATGTTTGAATGTATAACTAATTCAGGATATTACAAACTTGTTTCAGATTCTCTCAACTTGATTTTAACTGGGTTCGACTGTGTAGCAAACTTATTTCCATTTCTCATCAACTTCGTTACAGCCGAGTTTGACTACAGATAAATGGTGTTTGTTAATTTATGCACTCTTTTTGATGTTTTCTTGCATCATTCATCATTCTGCTGATCCAGAAACCGTCCCAAAATATTAGTGGTTGAGGACCACTGCTGTAACATATTGACCACCTGTCTATGCTCGCCTACCCAAAAATGTGTGAGCTGCAAGTTTGAAGTAGTCATGAAATAGAATGAACTAAAACAGAAAAAATCTAAATTTGCACGACGCACATGATGCGTATGAACGGGCTCATGTCGTTGAACGAAAGGAGGGAGCATTGACGAGGGAGCCGGCTACTAACTTACTGTAGTTTCCTAATAAACACAAGACAGCATAAATACTGCTAGCGGTTCAATTAAAACAGAATCAAACAGTCGAATGTTGTAGGAAACCGAGGGTGAGCGAAAGCTCGCGCTGCAGAACCCAGGAATCATGGGTTCAATCCCCATCTCTGCCCGTTTCTATCTAGATGAGCGTCATACCGGTGTGCGGTCGTGTATCACTACTGCGTGGTGCACGTTGAAGACCCCAGGTTTGCGGTTGTACTGCACTGGCTAAATTGCTCATCTACAGCTGAGACACCAGACGCCCACTGAGGCAGACTAACTTCGGGCTGTATAAACATACGCACAACAATTTTTTTTTTTTTAAATTGAGGGCCAAGCACGCAAGTAGAGGTTCCGAACATCGATTGGGCTCGAAGATGGCAAGCTGGGGCGTGGCCATGGCGTTCACGTGAAGCGTTGTCGAGGTAGTTCTGAGGAGCTGTCAATCTGGTCATGTCCGTTGACCAAACTCTTTCCCTGTAGCGAAGTATGCGTTACAGAAAGCCAAAATTTTGTGAGAATGTCACACTAGTGGTGGTGATAAAATGTGAAAGTGAGCACATGACGTTAGCTGGATGAAGAGATACGAGAGGAAAACAAAATTTCTCTATGAGCCTACGCCCACCTAAGCCTAATATTCGCCAAACCAAAATTTGAGATGGTCATCTCAAATTTTGGTTTGGCGAAAGCAAAGCAACCATATATGGCTGCCTTTTGCATTTATTTCGGTGAAAAAACCTTGCTAGCAAAGGAGAAAATAATTCTTTTCGACTGGCAAGTTTCCTTGCTGAAATAAATGTGACGGACGCCCACAGTCTCGAATTTCAGTTTCATAGATATTAGGCTCAGGTAAACATCGACTCGTAGAGAAGCTTTTTTTTTCTCTTTCATATCTTTAGACCTTGGGTAGCCTCATTTGCTCAAACTTCTGCATTTCATCACCACCGCTAGCATCACATTCTCACAGGGTTTCGGTTTGCTGCGACGCACAGTTTATTTATGCATGCTGAAAAATCGGTTTTCATTTTGTCGATGAAACCCGGTAGAGTGCGGTCGTCATTGCCCTGAAGCGGCGCGCTTCCCCAACAGCTGAGCCGTGAGGCCAAGGAGTACCTGGTGGAGCAGTACCGCCACCTGCGGCAAAGGGACTGTGGCGGCATCTCCAAGTCCTCTTGGCGGATCACCGTGCGCCAGCTCGAGAGCATGATCCGCCTCTCGGAAGGCATCGCGCGGATGCACTGCAGCGACCAGGCGAGTGGTTCTCCCCCTTTCCCCTCTCTTGCCTTTCGCCGGGAGTTTAACGCTACAGTTGCACCAAGCACCATCCTTTCAAAGAACTTGCAAGGGGCACCCCTGCTCTATGCTCAGTCCTTCTAGCAGTTCCCCAAGAGAGCTGCAGCCTCGTTCACAGTTTGGTGCGGGTTATGTTCCCGATCAACGCAAAATAAAAATAAAAATTTATTTCTGTAAAGCTTGAATTTTTTTTATTTGAGGACAGCTTAAGTATTAGACTTTTTCATTTTCCTCATATAAAAAAAAAACGGCTTGACGGTCAAAGCCCGTTAACACACTTCCGGCTTTCTGGGCGTGTGGGCCTCGATACGTCTTAAAATCTCTCGCGAGGAGAGCGGAGTCCTTTATACTGGAAGAGTCTGGCACTCTTCTGAAGATGCCGACCACCCAGCAACCACAGTTGGAGCTAGGGCTACCACCGGTAGATCCCATCTTACCTCCGCCTTATTGTGGCTTCGAAGTTTGAACCCACTCTGGATTAGGCACACCAGGCACGCTGTGAATCTGCCTTCGTAATGAAAGTGTTTCTCTTTAATGTAAGCATCTGTTGCCGTACACACAATTAGTAGCTCAAACTTATTTATCTCCTACGATCTCTTAAAATTATAAGCGCTTGAATTTATTCCTTTTTCGTGAAAAAAGAGTTTTGAATACTTGAACGAGTTAATTTTTGCGAGGACCTAATTTTCGCGAATCGCCTAAACTTTGCGAAAAATGGGTCCCGCAAATAATTCCAGTAAAATGTAAACACATTGGAATTTACATTGAGATCCCACCGCGTCGCAAAAATGAGCACTCGGGAATTATTCCAAAACTTCAGCTTTGATCTAAATTGCGAAATCATGAGCCCACAAAAATTGTCTTTTACAGTACTTCGAATGTTAGGTGTCAAATATGACCCCGCCAAAATTTAGTGCCGCGGCAGGTGGAATTTAGGAGAGGCGCCACGAACTCGCATGCTCGATTGCCAGATTCCTTTTCGTTTGAGGAAACATTGTTTTGTTTAAAATCGAAAGAAATACAGCTTTTTTCTTAGTTATGTTTTTGGAGATCAATATGGATGATCGGTGCTCGTATAGAGCGACCAATTGCAGGCATAACAAAAATTCAGTGTACTAAAAATTGTGTTTACAAAACAACTACTGACTGCACATTTCGACTACCGCACACAAAGTGGAGAGGTATTTTGGTTCTGGCAGGCTCAGTCTCAGTACAAAGGGCTCCAGACGAGATAAGACACTAGCTATCGGGTAGCCGAGGAACACTCGGCCGTCCCGTATATTTCCTATATTCGCGCTTTCTTTTTTGTCTCAGCAAACTTTTGTCAATGTTATACCACTTCTCATATGTGGTACAATAGAACCTCGGTGATATGTTTTCCCAACTGTTATGTTCACGAGCGCCGGTCCTGTTTGATTCCCATAGAGATACACATACTAGTTTCCCGTCTGTTACGTTTGATTTCCCGGTCGTTACGTCCCAAATCTGCGCCTCGGCGCTCCCAAACCTGCGCTCCTGGGCCGCACGCGGCGAATTTTCGGTCTTCTGTTGGCAACGTATGCCTCTCGGCCTCTCTGCTGGATTCTTCAAATTATCTAGTCGAATCCAAATCCAAATATGTTCGAATCCATAGCGGCTAGCGAGCGATCAATGGCATGATCGAAGTCCGTTTAGGATAGCTCAACCAGCTCAAAGATTTCAAAGTTTTAACGCGCTAGTCTCTAGCGTGTGTTTTAGATCTTGGATCATAACTGATTCCGTTCCTGTCGGACATTTTGATGGAACTGATGGCAACGTGGCAGGCTCAGTGTGACACCCGTTTCGACTTTGGGAGTGGAGCAAGAGCTGAGAAAAACTTGCTGGCTGCACGACTTGAATGAGTGCAGTTGTCAGAAATCGTGCTGGAAACGATTTCTAGCAAAATAAAGGTACCGTTTTATTTCTCTATTAGCCTCGCGCGACATTCGTGGTTCTATTTTCTCCACTGAGCAATATGAAAAGTTGTCCCTCGAGGTAGCAATCGTGGTCACACTTTAATCGGGTAGATACACTATAGGTTGAGTGCTAGTTCTAAATAACTGTGCCAAAAAAGAATGCCCAGTTATATGGTAACTAACATGGTAGTCCTCCAGACCAGCAAAAGTCATTCTGGAGTAAATCCCAGTGTGAGGGTTGCTTCCCGACACATCTGTAGCCCCACCAACAGCGTTACCGGTTGTTAGTTTTCCCGGGTGATGCGTCTTTTTGTTTTTGCGGTCCCTGAAAAACGTATTAATGAGGTTCTACTGTGCATACATTTGATCTCGCAGACACCGCCAAACCTCGGCTCTAGTGAAATGCAGTTACAGGGTCAGCACATAGATAGCGCCAAAGTGCCAGCACATTCTTTTGTGGGAAAAGATTTTAAAAGGTTCTAAGGCGCAAGGTCCCAAGCAGTCGCGACTGTGTCATACAGGCCTTTCTTTACCTTTATGAGTTTATTGGTACATACTGAAAATGCGGGACCCTACTTATAACCACCTGTAATCGATTCAATTAACCGTGCATCAACTCACGACGGATATGGAGAGACAAGCACCGAAGTATCAGATGCTGTTGGGAGCTTACAGAAAGACATGCGGGCTTAGACGGCCACGATGGTCCCGGGTATCCGCCATGAACCCTGTGGTCGAGACGCCGGACACCGTTTGAAAGTAAGCGGTGTTCCCGAATGCCTAAACGTCGACAAAATGCGTCCGACCCCGGGGAGCAAAAGTACAGTACCCGAGACTCGTCTCGCACGGGTGTTTTTACCGCGTCTAAGAAAGTGGTCTCTCGATTTCCACCCACGATGTTGTAGAAGCAATTTACACCCCACGCCAACGCTGCTTCTGCTTTTTCCCTCAACTTTTGCGACCAAACGCCACGATCGCGGCACCCGATAGCACGACACTGTCCTTTGTTGCCTCTCCGGGACCGCTTTCTATGCATGCGCTGGACGAAACGCCAAGCGCACCGGTTGGGGACACGTTGCGGGTACCGTACCGAAAGGTATGCAAGGGAGGGAAAGCGAGTCGGAGTCACAACGTAGGGCAACTGCTCGGTGGTGCACAGGTGCTGCCGAAGCACGTGAAGGAAGCCTACCGCCTGCTGAACAAGTCCATCATCCGGGTGGAGCAGCCGGACATCAACCTGTACGAGGAGGAAGAGGAAGGGGAAGCCATGGAGCTGGACCCCGCAGCGGAGACACCCAACGGAGTAGACGACGCCGCCGTGAGTCGCGAGGTCGACGCCGCGGGCTCCACGGCCCCCGAGAAAGAGAAAAAGACGGAGGCACGCGGGGCCCTGACACTCTCCTACGAGGAATACAAGAAGGTGGCTAACTTGCTCGTGCTGCACCTGCTCAAGGAGGAGGCCCGCAGCGAAGGTGAGAGCCCTCTCCGTATCCAGCAACGTCTTGGCGGAGTGCCGAGTTTCCTTAGCCTCCTAATTGCGGTCAATCTACTTAGAAAAGTCGGGTGCTTCTCTAGGCTCTCGAGGCGTTGTAGTTTGGCAACACCTTGAGCACCGTAGAACAAGCACTTCCGTCGTCACCTACACTTGCTCGGAAGTGAATGTCATGAGTGGAATGCTATTCTGGGCTTGGAATTTGTTTGTTTGCTCGTGCTTAAACATCTTATAAAGATAAAGAAAGTTTTCCTCTTTGTTATTGAGCTGGAGGTTATCCTGGAAGCGGGATTGGCAATTTTCGCGATTGTCCCATGCAGAAGCGGGCTCCGAGGGCACGCGGAGGATGTCCTTGGTCAATTGGTACCTGAAGGAGGTGGAGAGCGAGATTGACTCGGAGGAAGAGCTTGTGCAGCGAAAGACCCTGGTGGAGAAGGTCATCGACCGGCTCGTCGGCCACGTAAGGCCCTTCCCACCTTCCTGCAGGTTTCGGGAGGAGGGAGGGCAAGTAGCCACAGTAGACTCAAGGGTGAGGGCACGGCCCTTTTGAAAAGATGAGAATCACAAAAACTTCCCAATGATTTTGAAAAATATGGAAAAAAACACCAACCAAACAGGCATTTCATAATGGGGGTTGCTTTTGTAGTTCATTGAAGCCTTATTCTTGTGAAAGGGAAAGAACAAGAAAGCTTCACATGTTTGGTAACTTACGGTTATGAATTATATTTGGTGTCGACTCTTTTCTGCGATGCTGTTAGCACTATCATTGTTTCGACAGCTCTCTAGCGTTGTCGAGACTACTTCCACGATCGCGTGGCTTCGTTTCGCGTCTGCCTTGCACAAGAGCACATGCAAATGAGATGCAAGACAAATCCACCGGCTTTCGCAGGAAAATGAAGAGCTGGGTGGTACATAATTTTTTTAACAAAATGGGCTACTTTCAACTCAATGTTCATTGAAACAGCCGAGACTATTTATAAACCCTACCAGGTTGCTCGCATAGAAAAATAAAATTTTCATCAGAAGGTGGACTGACGATGCGCTTATATACATTTGCTGTCCCGCCGCAATCTCATACCTGCCAACTCTTCCTGAATCTTTGTGTAAAATGTACGAACTGGGACTAATTTTACAATTTTTTCGAATCTTAAATCAACTTTTACAAAAAATATTTTAAAAAAATTACGAAAAAATGCTAAAAAGAGGCTGCTGCTGGCGGTACCTTGCACCGCCACAAGAGGGCGATAGGTACCGTCCGCGGCAGAGTCGTGGTTTTTACTATCTGTTCATACAATGGCCACGGATCCAAAACCAATCCAAAGCCCAAAGCCTTTGTTCGTGTGTTAGGTGGCGCACATTGGTTCGGCGTGTTCAGCCGTGGTTGGGCCTCGCTGTTTCGGCCAGTTTCGAGGCAAGAAGTGCGGCGTCTGTGTTTGTTGCACGTGTAATTGCAGCATTCCCTTAGTCGCGGTGGCTTCGAACTCCAAACCCCAGAAGAGGTACTTTCAGGTGTTCCTGAAGTCCTACACGTCGGAATTCCCATGCTTCGTGCCTTCCAAAATGGGAGAGAAGTTTAGATTCTGTAGCATGTGCACGTGTGATGTAAGCGTTTCGCACGTTGGCAAGGCTGACATTAAGCTGCACATCGCTTCGTGTAACCCCCCCCACAGCCGTGGAAGTTTTACGAATTCGAAACTCCACAGGTTGGCAGGTATGCAATCTGATGTGAAATTTTACAATGCTGCAGTGTAGAACTCCAGCACTGGAAACTGTGCTGACCTTGACAATGTAGCACAAAAAGGTTGACACCGAGTGTAGCTGGATCGGGAAATATTGCAACTTGAGTAGAATAGGCACATATTTATTTGGAGTCGGGGACGACACAAGAGGTGAAAATAACACAAATAATTCATTTATTTGGGGAGTTTAGTAGGGGTATGCCTCTGATTGTGAGATGTTCAACACAAATGGCGGAAATATGAATCCCTGCAGGACCATGTCATCATCGCCCTGTCCACGAGCGGTCTGAAAGGGAGCGACCAGGAGGTGGAGCAAGACCCCATCTTGGTGGTGCACCCAAACTTTGTGCCAGAGCTCTCCTGAACTCTTCAAAGATGATCCTTTGTAAAAAGTGTAAATCGTGTTCTTATGCTTGTGCCTTGCATTTCTGTTTTTTTTATATCTCACTTAATAGCCTGTTTTTTACTTTGCCATGGCACTGGAGGTTAAACCTTCATTACTGTTACTGCACTCCAGGTCTAATTCAATAATAAAAGAGTTGGTCAAATACATATGCACTATGTCTTGCTCTGTTTGATCAAGGCAATCAGATTTTGCTTGTTTACTGCAGTGTGAAGTGCAAATTTGCTGCGTCAGTGGTCTGCAGTATCTGTTCCCGTGCCATTCTGGTTTTTAGCGGGTTCCTAGCGTTAAAAAGCGATAGCTTCACGGGGGACACTTGGCAGATATTTCAATGTCACGTTTGTTGTCTGTTGTCGCAGCAGAGATAGAAAAACCATTTTCTCTCCCTTCATGGCACGAGGAGAGATAGGTCAGGTGTTCCCATTTCCCATGACTTGCAAAGAGATTAGAGAGAAGAGCCCGAAGACCTGCCAATAATGGCACGACGACGAGGAAGCGTTAGCAGCCTGTCGTCTGCTAACGATAACTTTGTAATAATGTTCTCAAACATTACTAGCATTAAGCGTGACACATATGCATGACAAAGCTATTTGATTTCACGTCTCAAACTGTCGTGAGCGGCTGCTCCAACATGCCGCACACGGCATTTTGAGACACATGCTTGCTACCTTGCTTCCGACGCGTCGTTCCTTTCAGCTCGGCCTAGTTCTGGCATCCCTACAATAAGGTTTTGCCACCATACATCAGCACCTTAAAAAGCAACTCGGTTTCGTTTTTGTTTTTCAAAAAAAAAACAAAAAAACGCAGCCCTCTTCAGTATCACCTAGGAAGGCCAGATGTCAAATATTACGATGTAGTTCTGCCAAAATGTTCCTTAAAGGGCCCGTAAAATGAATTTTTGGCTGGGATAAATGAATTTATATTGTGATTTTACTAATATATTGTTTAGTGGGCCAAAAGAAAAAAGGTAGAGAGTCAAAAACCTGACTTTCAGTACGAAAATTTGAAAACGCAGCGGACTATTTCGTACCTCCTTCCCTTCGAAAGCTCTCTGCATTTTCACTGCGATACATCCGCGGTACCCAAAGCGCGTCACCCGGCCTAAACGCACACCACACGACACTGGACCTCACTTATTCCCTTCACCCCTAAGCTGACAGTGCGGTGGAAGCTATGCGCTTGCCGGACCAATCAGCCGCCTCCCTTTCATCACCTGACCTCATTATCTGTGGGTGGGTATGTGCGAGGGAGCATGATCACGTGGCTAAAGTGTGGCTGGCCCAATGCTCACGTAACTTCCACGGCACTGTCAGTTGAGGGGTGAACGGGGTGGGGTAAGCAACTTTTGTCCGAGTTTTGAACGATGGGCTAATCTCCTACAAGGAGAATGGCGGTGTCAGGGTACACAAACGAGGGTCCAAGCAAAGGGGGGACTCCCTCTTTTCAATTTTCTGGAATTTGGTACAATGTGCGATTTGTGAGATGAGAAGCAAAGCTAAACGGGAAAAAGTTGAAATTTTTTTCATGACCCTTTTAAATGGTCCGGCAAACTTTGCAACTCTCCAAGTTGCCAAAATTGGCGGACCTGAGCGGGCGAATTGAGGTGCAACCAACAGTGCAGTCAAGGCTACAGCATGGACGTAGCCAATGCGGAGCTAAACGTCATCACCATTGCCCCCTTTTGCTTGTTTTTACTTTTACCAGACAAGCGTAATGGGTGATGTGTGCAATGTTTCCTCGGCGCGTCTGCGCAGCGCACTTCTTGGTAGCCGTCCGGCCGCCCCACCGTGACCACTGTCTTTCACATCACAACCGCCGTCGTCGTCTCACTGTTTGGGATTATTGTCTTTCAGAGTTTCGTCCACACTACGGACACTATGTGTGCAGACTTACGCCCCAGTTGTTCAGACGTCGTAGACACCAAAACATGGTGAAGAGTGCAATGCAGACGACACTTGCTCCTGGCACACGCCCGCCCCATTCCTCCCGTCGTTGCGTAGAGAATCCCATGACATCCTGTTGTCACTTTGACATCTCGCAGTATGACAGAACCGCGAGGACCAAACAGGCAGGCCGGCTACCAGGGTATGAACGGTTTATTTCGGGCCCGCGTGGAACTATATATAGCGCTCCACGGACCAATGGCAACGCAGTTAATAAAACAAACAAAAGGCGGATAACAGTAAGTCATGCTTCGGTGACTCGGCCGAAGTGATAACAATTCTCCTTCTCTTATAATTGAAGGCGATCAATGGGTTTCCGAGTCCGAGTGGACCGTCGCAGCTGGAACGGCACACAGCTGTCTTCGGGCTCGCTTGAGGTCGTGGCGTCGCCGTACAACTCGTTCGCAGGGCTCTTGGCCGAGGCTGCAGGTACCGCGGCTCGGGCCAACTGGTCAGCAGGGCTCGTGGGAGAGGGTACAGGTACCGCTGAACCGCTGGCGGCTGCGGCTCGGGCCAACTGGTCAGCAGGGCTCCTGGGAGAGGGTGCAGGTACTGCTGAACCGCTGGCGGCGGGTGCCTCGCTGGTTTCCGCCTTGACCTCCCGTAACCGCAGTTGATCGAGATGACGGCGGACGTTGCCTCCGGGAGTAGATACCACAGTCATGCGAGCGCCGTGGTTGCTCTCCACCACCCCGGGCAACCATTTTTCACCTTGCCCGAAGTTCCGGTACCACACGGCAGCATGAGGGCGAATGGTTGGGACCTGTAAGTCAGGCGAGCACACACGTCTTGACGGCACAGCAGTGTCGACGCGCGAGCGTACTTGGAAACCGAGTAAGCGCTCGGCCGGTGATTTCCCGTCCGACAGTGGAGTGCGACGGTAAGACAGCAACACTTTCGCCAACTTCTCTTCCAAATCCCCGGTTGACAACTTGGCTAGGGACTCTTTTACCGTTCTGACCGCCCGCTCTGCCAATCCATTAGATTGTGGGTGATACGGGGCGGTTTTTAAATGCTCCACGTGATTTCGTTCCAGGAACTCGCCAAACTGCTGACTAGTAAACTGAGTCCCGTTGTCTGACACAATCGCACGTGGTAAGCCGAATCGGCTGAACATCTCTCTGAGCTCCCTTATGGTGGCTTCAGTGGTGGCCGAGCGCATTACGCATACTTCGATCCACTTAGTGTGTGAATCCACTACCACCAGCAGCATTTTGTTTTCAATTGGCCCAGCGAAATCAATGTGCAAGCGCGCCCAATTTTCTCCCGTTTCTGGCCAGTTAACAGGCGTGCTTGCTGGAGGCATAGGAGCAGCCTGTGTGCAGTTGTGACAAAGACGAGCCAGTCGTTCTACCTCACCGTCCAATCCGGGCCACCAAAACAACGTCCGGGCTACCCTTTTCATGGCCGTCGCCCCCTGGTGAGCCTCGTGGAGTAGATTGAGCATCTCTTTCTGGGCTGCCCCTGGAATGACGACTCGCTGTCCCCAGTAGAGCAGGTCCTGGACGACAGTCAACTCCTGCCTTCTGCAAAAGTAAGGATGCAGCTCATGCTGTTCTTTGGTTAGAATTTTCGGCCAGCCACGCATTACGAAGCTTTTTACTGTAGTCAGTGTTCTGTCCTCGGCACTGAGCTCTTTTAGCTGCCGTGCCGGCAGGAACGCTTCATCCATGCACTGTATCGCGAACACGTACTCTGGCAGCTCCTCCTCTCGGCTCTCCTCGGTCTGTGGAAGGGGCAATCGGCTGAGGGCGTCCGCGTTCGCGTTGAGTTTCCCGGGGCGAAATTCGATTTTGTACTGGAAGTCGCTGAGTAGAAGGGCCCACCTTTGAATTCTTCCCGATGCCAGCAGAGGTATCGGCCGGTCCTCTCTCAGCAGACCCACCAGGGGTTGGTGGTCGGTGACGAGAACGAACTGTCGACCTAGCAAGTAATCCCTGAACTTGGTCACGGCGAACACCAAGGCGAGTGCCTCTTTCTCTATTTGGGAATAATTTTTTTCTGCTGATGTCAGGCTTCGGGAACGGAAGGCGATCGGTCGGTCGACAGACCCCAATCGGTGCGACAGTACAGCTCCTACTCCTGTTGGCGAGGCATCGCATTCCAGACGGAGTGGTTTACTTGGATCAAAAAAGGTCAACACGGGAGATTTTAGCAATACTGTCTTGGCCTTTTCCACGGAGTCTCGTTGTCTCGGTCCCCATTGCCATACTTTATTTTTTTCTAAGAGCTCGTAAAGCGGTGCCAGCAGGGTAGACATATTTGGCAAAAACCGATGATAATACGTCAACAATCCAATAAAGGCCCGGAGCTCGCTGACGTTCGTAGGGCTTGGGGCCTGTCGGATGGCGTCCAGATTCTTCTCGATGGGGTGAAGCCCTTCCTGGTCCACTCTGTGGCCCAAGTAGCAAATTTCACTTTTCCTAAACGTACACTTCGACTGCCGCAGCCGCACACCCATGTCTTGAAATCGTTGCAGCACTGCCCTTAGATATTCAGTTCCCGGCTGCTCAGCCACCAACACGTCATCCAAGTACACCTGCACTCCTGGCAGGCCGGCCAGCATGGTTTCCATTTTTCTCTGAAAAATGGCCGGAGCCGATGCAACCCCGAACGGCAACCGGTTGTACTGGAAGAGCCCGCGATGTGTATTAATCACCGCCAGTTTTTTGGAATCTTTGTCTAACGGTACCTGGTTATACGCGTCTCGCAGATCTAACGTACTGTACACTGCCCCACCACGCATCGACGCAAAAATGTCTGCTATGCTGGGCAGAGGGTACTGTTCAGTAGCACAGGCAGCATTCACAGTCAACTTAAAATCTCCGCAAATTCTAACGGATCCATCACTTTTCCGCACAGGAACGATCGGCGCCGCCCATTCTGAATGCGTTATTGGAGACAAAACTCCCGTTTGAACAAGACGGTCTAACTCCTCAGAGACCTTATCTCTCAGAGCGTAAGGAACGGGTCTTGCCTTCATGAATTTCGGGCGAGCTCCTTCCTTCAGGTAGAGATGTACGGGGGGCCCCTCGATGGCTCCTAGACCGGGCTCGAACAGGTCCTGGAAGTCGCTCAGCAGGGATTCCAAATCCTGGTGGTCTCGGTGAGCGGAAACAGAGGCCACTTCTGCGCCAAGCAAGTTCAACTTGTTGATTACATCCCGGCCACAAAGGCTGGGTCCAAGGCAATCCAACACCACCAGGTTTGCAGGAACCGTGCGGCCCTGGAAAGCAACGTCCAGAT